TATTTTATTACACTGGAACAGCTCGTGCCGTCGGTCTCTTGCCTCAGCACCTGGGTGGCTTGCCGCCCACAAGAAATACTGAAGAAAATTCTCAAATATTGAGATTGTTGTTTTTGCCCATGCATGGTAGGTCCCAAAATAGTGGTTTTGATCCTATGGTTAGTTTGGAGAGTTTCACCTAGGTCTACTGCCAGCATGAGACTTAGGCTAATTAGTATCCAGGAGGGCATTTTTCTTGGCTTCTCTATATTTTCTAGGAGAAGGTAAAGTAGCTGTGAAAGCAGCCATTAGGGTGGGGTGTGATGGCTCATGCCTGCAACACTAGCATTTTGGGAGGCTGAAGCAGGTGGATCATTTGAGCTCAGGAGTTCAAGACCAGCCTGAGCAACAGGGTAAAATCCTGTCTCTACAAAAAATACAAAAATTATCTCGACCTGTAATCCCAGCTACTCAGAAGGCTGAGGTGGGAGGATTGCTTTGGCCTTGGAGGCTATAGTGATCCCTGGTTGTGCCACTGCACTCCAGCCTGGGTGACAGTCTCAAAAAATTAAAAAAAAAAAAAAAAAAAGCTATTAGGAGATAAGCTTATCTCACCAACCTAGGCTGGTGGCACTTTCCCACTTCATATCACCTGACAACAAAGGAGGATGACCCACCACACGCTGATCACATGGAGGGTGGCGGGGAGGCCTGAAGGTAATACCAGAAGGCAGGGAATCAGGACCTTTTCAGGGTAGAGCCCCATCCTAGAGACTGTCCCACTGAATATACATCAAATGTGATTGTTAAAAATGCATATTTGAGGACCCTATTCCCAGCAATTCTGCTTCAAAAAATCTGGGGTAGGGCCAGGGAACATATGATTTACCAGTGGAGCTGGCTGATTGATATGCAGGTGTTCAAGGAACCCACTTCAAGAACACTGTCCTGAGGAGTACCAACCTGTGACACCTCTTTTGGATTTCTTTTCTTTTTTCCTTCCTTCCTTCCTTCCTTCCTTCCTTCCTTCCTTCCTCTCTTTCTCTCTCTCTCTCTTTCTTTCTTTCTTCTTTTTTTTTTTGTGTTTTTTTTTTTTTAAGACTGGATCTCACTATGTTGTCGAGGCTGATGTCAAACTCCTGGACTTGAGCAATCCTCCTGCTTTGGCCTCCCAAAGTCCTGGGGCCTCTTTGGATCTCTTGAGCTATTTTCATTTAGAGACCAGAGTTCTATTGCAGAAGACACTTGTGGAGCATGAGCTACTTTCCAGGAATCTAGAATTTCTTTTGCTCTGTGGTGGTTCTTTATTTCCTCTATCCCTATTCCTTATCGCTGGGTTCTTTCCTTTTTCTCTTTCATTACCTTTAGCTTCCTGTCTTCCCTGTTGGTCCCCAGCCAGACGCTGATGGAAAGTGAAAATTCAATAATATCAATTGTTTTCCCTTTTTTAGCAGAATATTATCATGTATACTTGGTCAAGGACGGATAAATAAAAATGAAAAGTTTATTGGATGAAACAGTTGGAAAGCTACAGTTATAATAATGTTGGTTCCAAGAAATTCTATGAATAGCCTAATTCAGTGATAATATATTGAACTTGGAATTGTTTTTTAAAATTTAATTTGGAAATGAATTTTTTTTTTTTTTTTT